CTTTCTCATTGCGCCTATCCGGTGACGATGCAGCTTCGAGCACCGGTCAAGCCGGTGTTGGTATTACCCTGAGTCCCCGGGCTGAAGCTGCTCTGGTTGATTGGATCCCAATCAGTAGCCGGATGTATGCGAGCCGATTGGTTGGCTCGTTCAAAGCTTCGAAGTTGCGCGGGACTAATCGGTGTCTATTCGTCATCGCTGCCTATGCACCCACAAACTCTTGCGATGATTCGGTAAAAGACGACTTCTATCGCCAACTGAACGAGCTCCTTCGCTACAGAAGAAGCTCAGACACTGTTGTCCTGGCGGGGGATCTGAACGCACAAGTTGGAAAGTTGTCCACTGATGAAATGCATCAGGGCGGTCAACATGGTGTAGGCCCCCGTATTGGTAACGGTGAACGGTTACATTATTTGTGTGAAGATGCTCGCTTATTTCTTGTGAGCATTAATTTCCGACATAGCACCCGCCGCAGGGTGACTTGGCGCCCACCAGCCTCGAACCAGCTATGGACGCAAATCTATCATATTGTGAGAAATTGCCGCTTGAGTGGCTGCGTCCAGAACTGTCGCTCGATTTGGAGCACAGGTGTGGACACCGACCATGCCATCTATGTGCTGACCTGCGAATGAGCTTTCGCGGACGCCCACGACGACGATGTGACCGCATTGACACCAGCCAACTGGCGAAGCCTGCTGTTCTGAATGCCTATCAAAGAACGCTGACATGCGAGTTAAGTAGGCGCTCCCTAGTCTCATGTTCACCAGACCTTACTAGCAACAGGCAAATCCTCATGTGGTAAGACTAATCGCCAACATGAATACTGAGTCTCTTCGCAGTCTCTGGAACTTATCGATGCTCGCCGGCACATTCCGGCTGGAAGCGAACACAATGAGGCACGCAGAAAACTCCGTGTTTGCCAGAAGAGAGACCGCGAATCCTTATGGTAGCATCGTGCATCAGAGATGGAAATGGCCGCTGCCCTTGGTAACCATCGCAAGTTATTCGGGCTGATAAGGGAAACGGGCAGCAGGAGACCTGGTGTTATTGAAACTATAAGTGACGAGAGTGGATACCTTATCCACAACTTGTCAAAAAACTTGGAGCGTTGGGCTGAGCACTCTGAAAGGCCATTAAATCGGTTGGAATTATCAGATTTCTTACCGGCCAGTGATCGCCCTCCTCCCTGAGCTGTCCCATTGCATCCGCCCAGATGTCGCTCAGAAGTTGAACATGCGATCGGACCGTTGAAGTTAAATAAAGCTGCTGGACCAGATGATCTTCCTCCAGCCCACTTGTGGGTGATTTACACAAGGTACTCGTGAAACTGTGGAAGCAGGAAACTGTTCAAACCAACAGAGCCGCTCCGTCATAGTCCCCTATTTCAAGGAAGGCTCACGATCGGAATGCGGCAACCATAGAGGAATCAGTCTGATCTCTATCGCCTCCATATTGCTTACCTCTGTCATCCGTCACAGACTGATTGGCATTGGTGAAAGCCAGATTCGTGAGGAGCAAGCCAGGTTTCGTCGAGGTCGTGGCTGCATTGAACACAGCCTAACTTTGCGTCAGTTGTTGGAACACCGTCACATATATTGGTGGCCCACCGTTGTCGTGTTCCTTGATATCAAAGGTGCATTCGATTGGATGCATACGCGTGCCCTTTGAGACTGTCAAGTCAGGAAAGGTGTCCCCGAGAAATATGTAAACATCAACCGAGCATTATACGCGCGTAACTCGGGCAGAGTGAGGGCTTACGGCAAGTTGTCATCGCCCTTCAATATCTCCAGCAGTGTGAGACAAGGGTGCCCGCTGTCACCATTTCTCTTCAACTTCGCTATTGACGAAGTCATGGAGATTGCATTTACAGGACGACTTAGAAGGTGTGGAGCTACTCCCAGGAGAACGACTTCTTGACTTAGAGTATGCAGACGATATTGCCATCACCTGTGACGGCTTCCAGACGTACCAAGCCACGCTGGACCGACTAGCATTGGCTGTCAGCCGCTTCGGGCTTTGCTTTGCACCATCGAAGTGCAAAGTTTACTCCAAGATTGGCAGGGATCGCCTCCTGCGCTGACTCTTGGTGGGGACCAGCTAAAAGTCGTTCAGAAATTCTACTACCTGGGAAGTTGTATCAGCACCCTTGGGATTGAAGATGTGATAACAAATCGTATAGCAAAAGCTCGAGGCGCTTTTGCTACCTATGACGCCGGCACGATATCACTCTCGCCCTGAAGGGTAGAGTGTACAATGCAGCGGTACGTTCGACCTTACTGTTCGGTTGTGAAACCTGGCCCCTTAGATCAGCGGACATAAAGAGGCCAGTTATATTCGACAACCGGTGCCTGCGCAGTTTAGCTCACCTTTGGTGGGAACACCGCGTGAACAACGAGGATGTTCGACGCCCTGTTTATGGCGCAGGAAGAAGCGAACCGCTCAGCAACGTTATTTCATGCACCAGGCTCCGATGGCTGGGCCACGTGTTGCGCATGCCAGTCCACCGACTTACGCGACCTGCGTTGTTTGCGTGTCGGGGGTGTGGATGGAAGAAAAGGAGAGGTGGCCAAGCGATGACTTGGTCAAGAAAAATAAAGACCGTTAATTCGATGTTGGCCTCGGTTGGAGTCTCGGTTCCCTGATTGGGGACCGAATGACACTGAACGTTTGCAATGATTCGGAATACTTACAACTTGGTTAAAGAATTATGAAAAGGCCTCAAACATCTGACCAGCGGATCGCAATACTCGAGCAATAATGCTCATCAGTTTTTGGAAAAGCTCAAATGCATGCGGATAGACCATGACAAAGTGATGGTATCATTTGAGTCACCGCACTTTTCATCTCCATCAACTTACAGATAGCGAAAGAAAATATCAAAGAACGTCTGAACAATGGAGAATAAACGACTGGAAAGCTAACAACCGAAAGCATATGCAAGCTCTTTGAATTGTCTTACTACTTACTTCAAATTCAACGGAATGTTCTACGAGCAAGTTAGAGGAGCTCCAATGGGATCCCCCATATCTGGACTTATTGCAGAAGTCGTCATGCAGAGGTTGGAAGGGGATATACTCCCAGTCACCAGTCCGAAATTATGGGTGCGATACGTTTGTGATTGTCAAACGCAACCAGCTAAAGACCGCACAAGACCTCCTTAACAATGTAATGGAACGCATTCGTTTCACCATGGAAGAATAGGTGGAAAACCAACTACCCTTTTTGGATGTGCTGGTTACCAGAACAGTAGAAGGCGAACTACGAACATCAGTTTACAGAAAAGCAGCATACATCGACCAAATCCTAAACTTTAACATAATCACCCAAAGTGTCAAAAAATAAGCTGTATACGGGCCTGTTTCGTAGGATAGAACCGCATTGCAATACTGCGGAGGCAAACGAAAGGAAGAAGAACATCTGTTTATGTCTTTCATTCGCAACGGCTACCCACGCAGTTTCATCCGAAGACACCTAAAGCGAAGGAGCACAACTACCGCACCTGCACCAACAACGGCGAAACACATCGCCTTGCCGTACATCAAAAAGTATCGGAAAAGACAGCCAGACTCTTAAAACCGCACAACCTGACGATAGCTCACATACCAACTGCGACTTTGAAAAGAATATTATCTATACCTAAAGAAAGACTGGAGGCACACGAACGCCAAAATGTCGTCTACAGGATACAATGCGAGAACTGTGACAACGATTATGTAGGTCAAACGGGGAGAAAACTATCCACAAGAACACAAGCGTGCGTGTCGATATCATCTTGTATCGTCACAGATCTCAGCGCATCTCGATGAGGAAGGACACAAGGTTAACTGGGACAAAACAGAAATTCTGGCACACGGAGAGACAAGAAAAGGAAGGGAATGCCTCGACGCATGGTTCTCTAAGGAGAATTCACTAAACCTCCGTATTGACCTCGACCCCTTGTACCTACAACTGAGAAAGTGTGAAACTGGACGACCAAATATCGAACAAACAGTGGTCACGGGACACAGCTCGACGAGGCTAATTTCAAACGCTACGTCCCGACGACACTTTCCATGAGATTTTCCTCTACGGAGCAGTGCACTGAAGATGCCACTGAGGGAAGTGGTGAAACGTTTGTCATTAAATTACTCAGCTCGGAGAACGAATCAAAACGTTGACAATGAACGCGTTTGGCTGGATACACTTGTTGACAAGGATATGAGCCGACCTCAATGACGTTTTTGCTGTGAGTTACTTTGGTCCTCCCGCTTCGGTTTAGCCAACCTCCTCTAACCACAAGGTCAAGTAATAGGCATTACATGACTTTTTGCGGCACAATAGCCGGCTGTTAGCTCTCCGGAACAATGTCCATCCATTGTTGGGGGAGTAACCAGCGTGTCTGTTTCACTTTATTTTTTTTACTTTTGTATTGCGGCACCATAGCTGAGGTATTTTCCACCTGCAGGTAGCGTGTATAATGAATGAATGATTGGTTTAGTTGTCACCTCACCTCTCACACACTGTAGGGTGCCTAAGCGACATTTACCCATCACTGATCAATTGCTTCTTCCCGGATTCCACAGTACTCCACATTCCGCCGTCCCTGTCCCCATCTCCTCCGCTACCAATTTTTCACTTCAACCCCTGAATGAGACAAATCCACCTATATCTCCGCCATCGATATCAAGAGCAAAACGTGGCCGCAGGCCAGCACACCAAACACTCAATCAAGATCGGATGCTGGAATGTGCGCACACTGCCTGATCGGGACACGACTCATCGACCTACGCGACAAACCGCATTAGTCGCCAGGGAGCTTGCGCGGTTTGACATTACGATAGATGCCAAAAAGAAAAACAGGTAATTTGATGACATAGAGAAGGTAAAACATAATGGGAAAGCTGAAGAAGTTGTAGAGGCGATGCGGATTTAAGAAGCAGCTTATTCTTGACAGAAAAAAAACGCAGAAATTGACGAACACGACGAGAACTGGAAGCTGCAGTAGAAACACTGTGACTCACCGATCCAGGGCTGCCAACACTGCTTTTCCGAGACGGGAGTGCTTGAGAATCTTGAGTGAGTGAGGGCAAGGGGAAGGTCACATCCTCCAGTGAATGATCGGAAGCGGCAAGCGAGTTCGACATCGGGTGCTCGTTTCCACTGGCTGTCAAACAGAGCAGGAAGAAGATCGTTGTGATTAGGGCTTACTTGTTAAACTACAGCACTCATGTGTATAGACTCAGGATGCATAACGTGAAGAGATTGGAAAAAGAGCAGAGATTAAGGATCAGCATCGTTAGAATAAAAGGCGTTAAGTTGTAGCCGGGGCCGCAGGCACATGGGATGGTCGCGCAGTGTAAAGATGCACCTTGTCAAGTGGTATAAGAGACAACACAGCCGTGGTTGTACATGCATTAAACACAGGTGACCAGATGGATTTGGACAACGTAGAGGCTAGCAGGAGGGGCACACGAGCAAAGCCCAAACGGTCGATTGCCGAGGCGTTGGAAACTACCATATTGGACAGCCGTGTGAATAGGATGGAAGGGGTAGAACTCACTAGTGCGTGGCGAGCGATCTTAATCCGGCCAGCGTGACGAGCGTCGGTGCATGCATCAGATTGGAAAGTGCAACTGGACTCCAACTGGCATCACTATGGGCTTAGCCGTCAATGCCATGAAGCATAAAGGAACACCTGAACCATTCCCACTGTGATTAAACCAATGAGGTGACATCACGAACTGTGACTGTAATGACACCATGACTCAAGTCTCGGGTAACGCGGGGTTATAATCCCAATTCGCTATAAAATGCCACTCCAACAACACACTGATTCACCTGTGCCAAGATGGAAAGGTTACCAAACATCCATCAACCGATTGTTTCCGAACCTCTCTGAACCTCCTCTGAACCTCTCTGAACTTCTCGATCGGTTCCAATGTTGTGAAACTCCAGACAGCAATGCGGTCAAATGAGTCAAACGTTATACTTATGTACAGGAAGCAAACGATGGTAGACCGGCTGAAAGCTCAACAGTGCTCGAGTGTCTGGCAGATCGTATGGATGTGATCAATACATCTCTGACCTTGGCGAAACCTAGGCTGTTCTTCACGTAAGTGACATCCGCATACTTGACCGAGCCTCCGTAAAAGCAAGAAGGCGAGCATTTTGGATGAGGAGTCTGTTCCTTCGGTAGTTTGTGCAACCCATTCAGTCACCTCTTTTGAAGATGGGTGGTACGGGGTGCGCTAAGTCGAGATCGCATGAGATGACTTATGTGGTCCAGGTCTCCCGAAGGACGGCAGACATTTCAGACGAAAGAGATGAGCCTCCATACCTGAAAAGACCTGAGGGCCAATTGAGACCAGGAGCTCTGTGATGCTTCAGAAGACGAATCTCATAGGTAACCTCGGTATCGGATGGCCGAGGTCAGGGAACACCGTGGACACAAGAATGGCAACGCGAGGGCAATGAATGCTAGTTGAGCTGCTGCTCGGAGTGCACTGCTCAATGTACAAATCAGCGTTGGCGATTGTGAAGTAATTTACCGTTGGTTTCACATATCGATTCGCTTACAGTCGGTTACTTGCCACCGGCGGATCGGATAAGAGAGGGGTCCGCGGACGTTCTCTGAAGATGCAGCTTGTTCCTTCTCAATGAGACGCTGTGTCCACCAGGCTTCGCGATTTGTCATGAGGAGCTGCTGACTGGCTTGCCGAACAACCTCCTCGTGGTGTCAGCTGGGTGGATTGGGATCATCCTGTTCCAGCAAATCGTTCGGCGGTAGTGTTCTAGGACGTGGTGGGTTTTCGCTGGGCAAGCGATTTCCCTATAAAAAGCCACATATGTCCTATTAACAACACTGTGACGTGGCGGATGTGACCCGCCAATAAATAAAATAATTGTGATGTTTGCGTCTCAGCTCCTCACAAGCTAAATAGCATGCCCTAGTACGGAAAAACAGCAGACGCGGTTCGCCCTATTGGGGTTCAGCAGTGGTGCGCATTTCCTCAGTCCCCAATTGGGAATCGCACGCATAACCACTAGAGGCAGATGCCAAGTAGCCAGCAGCTTAAGCCACTGAGCAATGCGGGACGTCGGCTGGGATACACAATTTGCAACCTAACTTGGATATAGAACGACCTATCTGCCAATGCCACGCAGGTTACTATCTTAGCAGATGACAGTGGCTAGCCTCCGAAGACCACGACTTCCTCTCACTAGATGCTACACCCAAAGCACTTGAAACTAGGAGAGGAAAAATTAAAAAAATCACTGCCCCTTACTTCATACTGGCGAAGCATTGTAATCCAGCAATTTAATGCTGAAATTGTGGGAAGCATTTGGGCTCTGTTTGGCAAACGAACAAACGAAAGGCGTATGAAATGCACAAGCAGTGACCGGCCCCCAAAGGGCGCGATTCCCAGAAATCGCTCCGCTGGATTGCGGGCAAGCCAGACGGCCAAAAGCTCGAGATAGTGCCCATTAAGTCACCACAGTACCTCGGCTTGGGCAACGGGACAATACCACGCCATCTGACGAAACCATGGACTCCTTCGTGTTATGTTGTTATTTTAACGATATCTGTACCTTACCTTGAGTTCAATGGTTTTTGACGACCCCATGTCTATTCGGTTTCGGATTTGCTTGTCACTGTGGCCAGCCACAGGACGCCTGTACCTATAAAGGGACCATGGGTGGCTTGCGCTGCACCACCCACAGCTCCATCCACACACCCCATATCCAGTGTAAACCCGAAGGAATAAGACCGGGCGACATGTGGATGGGAGCCACGTTTCATCAACGGAGCCGGCCCACACTCCTTCACAGGCAAACACAAGCACGCTGTATTTGGGGAATCAAGCGCACACAAGGCCGTGGCTGGACCGTAGTCCGCGCCACACTGAGTGCATGGAACCACTCTTCGAGCCTAACACGGCCACAAGGACCGTGCACCTCGTTCTGTCAAGCCGCGACCAACTGTCTCCTAGAGCCAATATGGATGAGGTAGTGGGTAATAGACAGGTAGGCACCTTGTCAACATTCACATCAAGTGCAGCCACACCAGAGATATCAAGCAACAGCCAGTCACTTGAAACGATAATATCAAATAAAATAAATCCAATAGTGCATACAGATATGCCGACATAGCTCTTTACTAAATGAGCAAACGAAATAAATTGGTTACCAAAAAATCCGCTGTTTTCGAAACGTCAGAAAAAATATTTTACGAAAATGCCACAAACGCGAAAATGTTATCAAAGTTAACTATAATTAACTTGAGCGAGGTGTGCAAGTTAATGGAAGATAGTTCAGTTAGAAATCCTACTAAGCGGGGCCTATCGATCCGACGTGCGTTGTCACCGGACATCATTTTTACAATATCGCCATGAATACACTAATTTTCGCAGAATATTTCAACATAGATGTATCAAGCTATTTCCAAGGTCACCTCTGCTGTCCTCTGCGTAATCTTTGAGAAAAATCCAAGATCCTGTGCATGTGAAGATGGACAGGCGGGTTTGAAAATCTAACTTACAACACTGGCTTTAAATATTTATGATGGGAAGTACTTAATTGTTGCTCTTTAAAAATGACCGTTCAATAAAGTGTCACTTGCACATAGCGTCCTTTTATCCATTTCTATAAATTTAGTTCTTATAATGTAATTTTAGTTCATCAAACCGTCCATATTGCAAACTGCTGAAAATGAACCTATCAGGATACTAAGAGCTTACATTGACAAGACTTCACCAGACTTGGCCAGTCAATCTCTGAACGGTTGTCCAAGAGACAGTCAAAGTGTTTTTGCCAGATTTGCAGTTAGTGTGTAGACAGTGCATGAACTACCATCGATTAGCGTCCTTTGTGGCTGCGACCTCGGTCCATACACCACCTTCAAGGAGTGAAAGATGTCCTTGTGTTGGCGGTGTTCGGCGTAGCATTCCATCTGCTTCGCCTTCTCCGTCCACCATGCAATTTTAATGCACCTGAACTCTCGGGTCAGTCGCCGTCGTAGTTTGAGAAATGGACTATTCTTCCACAAGTCATTGGGGTCTACCATATATGCAGCAAATACTGCATTCTTCTCCGATACTAATGCGCCAATCGTCACATCGTTCTCATCAAACCAATCAGGCCGCTTACAGTTTGCGTGCCCGATGGTCTCCTCGGCAGCAGTTGTCACCTGATCGCGAATGTTGTGCCACAGATCGCGATTTGTGGCTATGCATTTCACATGACACAGGCGTGCAGCCATCACCTTCTCCTGCTCAATACACGGAGGCATACGATTGCATTGGTGAGCGATTGCCCGCGAGGTGGCGGTTGTGCTTCCGCTTTCTTGAGGGACCCCGCCTGGAGCCATTGGCTCAATAGCCTGACCCAAAAGACGGTTCGTTCGGAGGTTTGCTTAAGGGAATACCCGGAGCCTTTGGCTCAATAGCCGGACCCACAAGGCAGTGGGGATCAGATGCAGCTCGGGAGTGTGATTGCAGAGACCCCTTTGGATCTACTTGAGGCTCGTCACACGTGGCCTTTGGAAATCTGACACAATTAATTTGTTTTGCGACCGCAGTAGGATACGCACCTGCGACCACGGCATGTTTGTACCAATTTGACCAGGCGTTGCCTGGCTTGAGGCGGGCAGTAGCAAACCATTGAACACCCGGAGGTGTCCTCCCACCGTCAGAGACAATGCGTGGCACTCGTGCTCTACGCCAATCGAGCTGTGAGCTTATAACCCGTAAACTTGTTGTCTCCCATGGCTAGGTTTTACGGGAAGAGGGCCATCGACCACTTCCTAACCTCCGAGGAGAATAGACTACGATACTGGCAGGGTGTCCAAACTTAACAGGAGAAAGACTCGAGTCCTCTGCCAAAGCCTTCCATAAAACGTACACATGAAAGGCAGCGGGTTTGGCACATGGTCAGTTTACTGACTCATGCGGATTGGTGTCCTAGCTCTTGGCTAGGAGAAGAGCGTAACACAACTCTCACCCAGCGGTCGCAATGAGGAGGTGTCCGGGATATGAGCCCATGGCACAACAGTAGCAGCAGTGGGTAGATAATCCGTTAGGATCTTGTTATGGTCGTCACCTGCGTCTAGCTGTGGTCGCAGGTGCGTATCCTACTACGGTCGCCACGCATATACGAACTATTCCAGATCTTCAAAGGCTGCGTGTGACGGAACTCAAGCAGATCTCGATCTGTCTCTGCAATCACATTCCCGAGCTGGATTTGCTCACCACGGCCGTGAGTCAGGCTATTGAGCCAAAGGCTCCGGATGGTCCCTCAAGCAAACCTCCAAACCACCCACTGCTTTGTGAGTCATGCTATTGAGCCAAAGGCTCCGGGTGGAGACCCTCAAGCAAACCCCAAAAGCATAACCGCCACCTCGCGTGCGACTGACCACCAACTCAATCGTATGCCTCCGCGTAAAGCCCTCGGCATCGGATGCTGGAAAGTGCGCACACTACTTGACCGTAACTCGAGTGAGCACCCCGAGCGATGCACTACACTGCTCGCGATGAAACTTGGGCGCTACAACATCGATATCGCGGCATTCAGCGACACCGGGCTCGCTGGGCAAGGTAAATTACATGAAGCAAGTGCTGGCTACATGTTCTATTGGGTTGGCAACGCCGTCACAGCATCACGTGAACAAGGGGTCGAATTTGCAATATCCTAACGCCTAAATGGTCAGCTGGTGGGTGTACCAACAGGCATCAGCGCGCGACTGGTGACTGTTCGCCTACGACTCGGAAGAGGTAGGTTCGCCACTTTTATGAGCACGTACGGTCCAATCATGAGTTATTCTGATGACAGGCGTGATCAATTCTACACTCAGCTATCCTCCGTGATACGGTATGTGCCGAGGAGCGACCGACTATTTCTGCTGGGTGATTTCAACGCGCGCGTGTTGGGTGTGATGCAACGGTGTGGACAGACGTCCTCGGTCCGCATGGCATTAGTTCAGTGAATGCGAACGGTGACAGGCTGCCACTCACGGCCTGACGAGCACGAACACTCAGTTTACACTGAGTACCAGTGATATAGCAACCTGGACGCAACCAGGGAGTGGTCACGCTCATCTACCCGACTGTGTCATCGTATGTCAGCGTGATATGCGTGAAGTGTGCATGACACGTGTACTGCGTGGAGCTGAGTGTGGCACGGATCACAAATTGGTGCGGACCAAACGGTACACATATTTTCGTAAATCTATGTTTTGTACTCCAGCCGTGAGTCGCCGTAAATTTAAGATTCTCTCCCTCGGTACTGTGGCGAAACGTATTGAGCTGGAGAAGGCGATGGCTGCACGCCACAGTGGGCGACCTGTGGCACCACATTCGCGACCAGGTGACAACTGCTGCCGAGGAGACCATCGGGCACGCAAACTGTAAGCGGCCTGATTGGTTTGATGAGAACGATGTGACGATTGGCGCATTAGTGTCGGAGAAGATTGCAGTATTTGCTGTACATATGGCAGACCCCAATGACTTGTGGAAGAATAGTCCGTTTCGCAAACTACGACGGCGACTGACCCGAGAGTTCAGGTGCATTGAGAAGCAGATGGAATGCTACGCCGAACACCGCCAACACAAGGACATCTTGCACTCCTTGAAGGTGGTGTATGGACCGAGGTCGCAGCCACAAAGGACGCTAATCGATGGTAGTTCATGCACTGTCTACACACTAACTGCAAATCTGGCAAAAACACTTTGACTGTCTCTTGGACAACCGTTCAGAGATTGAGTGGCCTAAATGGAACGGCCTCAAGCAGCAAGATGTGAAGAAGTCTGGCGGACACAACACCACTGGGTGGGACGCAGAGTGCGCTTGCTCAGCTGCGAAACGGGATGTGAATGATAGTGTAGTCGACAGATTCGGCAGTTATGCATACCGGTGGCCGAACGAATCATCAGTACGTGACTCCATCAGCTAGGAAGATACGAAGAGCGCTACACATACGCAAAGATTGAAACGTCCCTTTGGGGTGGGCTTGCAGAGCCAGGTTGCGTGTGGACCGAAAATCGTCCAACTTGTACCATCTATGTCGGCGAAACCATGTCATCCGCAAGTTCGACTAAGTTGCTCAGTGAGCTTCTTCATGCTTTTATGTCGCGTCATCCAGTGCTCCCTGGCGGTTTCGCCCAACTTTGTGCAATCAGGAAGTGGAATCCACGAGGAGGAAGCCGGTTAACGGGCATAAGGAGAACATAACCTAACAAACATAAGCAGTTAAGATACAACAAACACTCGAGTGAGGCACCAGGTATATTGTCAAAAAACCAACAAGCGGACCTCAGCAATGCTCACTCGGTGTTCCTACCAGATGGGAGCAATATGTCGTAAGCACCGGGGGTCAAACATGGTCAAGCGTTCCGAAACCTCCCGTTATATGCATTAGAGGATATGTCAAGAAGTGATGCGATTTGCAAGCGAAATGCTGACATCCTGTGGTGCGCAAGGTGAACACGATGGGGTGACCTCCCCCCCCCACACACATGTACCCAATGTCATGTTGAATGAAATATAAAATAATATTTTGAAGAGGTGAAACTGTGCAAACCGGGAGTAGTATTTCATCGACATGTGTTGGACCGAGCGCCAAATGGGGAAAATCGTGTATTAGAAAAAGGACGAAGTAAAGAAAAGTCACATCTCACGGATGTAAAAGACCCCAAATCGACCGTATTTGTGTGAAATGGCTTAATTATGGGAAGGTAACTGAATTACACTTGGAAGTTGATGCGATGAATTCTCAATCAATTGCATCACAAATCTCCTATTCATGAGTACATGGAAACACGATCGATAGCTTGCCATATCATTCTGACAAGGTTGGACAGTAATAACAAACCGGAAGTCGAGTAGATGGGGATCTGTGTACCTGACTATACAAAGAGTCTATTTGCTTGCGGAGGAACGAATGGGATGGCATACATTAAGTTACATCATCATCATCATCATTATACACGTTAGCTAGAGGTGGGGAACACCTCAGCTACTGTGCCGCAATGAGGCTGGACTCCATCGCAATGAGGCTGGACTCCATCGCAATGAGGCTGGACCTTACCGTGGTGCGATGGTTTGTGTGCCTCAGTGATCCATTGCACTATACTGGGTGGTGCATTTTTGCACCTTCAGAGTCACTCATACCAGATTGGTCAATGGTTAGAGGCCAGACAAACTCAGTCTCCTGGTCCTCCAGGTTGGGGGTTGGAATGAGGATGTCACCTTATTCCTTAAAACGGACTCCTTGTAGCCCAGTGCCAAACCCGCTGCCTTGCGGACAGGTTTTTGAACCAAAGGCTATGGTTGAGAACCTTAATCGTTCTCCTGTCTAGGCCTGGGCAAGCTGACAATATCCTGCCCACGCAATACCATGAATTTCACTTCAAAGATTAAATTACATGGCTGACTCAATTCAGTTGGCTGAAGTGTTCCACATTGTACCGGTTTTCAAGACACCACCATACAGAGAGGAGGGACAACAATGGGACTACCAGAGGGAATGATGGTAGACTACCACACAGGGGCAGTGGACTGCGAGTAAAGTTCCAATCTACAACGTGGATACTTGACGGTGACAAAAGTGCAGTATATAGTGAGTAACGTACAGCGTACACTTAAAGCTTCGTCAAGCACAATGGATCAGACAAACAGGCAGTAAGAGCCGATGGGTACAACAGGTGGACTGCATCGCTCACCGGAGGCTGCGATACTCTCACTCATGGTTGAATGGGTTGATGGTGGTACAGGCGGTGGTGGAGGGTGATGCACGTTGCCAGGAACGGTGTGCATTTGGTGGACATGCGGTACAGGATGATGATGATCACGAGGATCCGAGTGTCCATTGACCTGAGGCATGGGATCGGGTGACGGAGTGTGGACGACCCCGCACGGTCCGTTGGGCACAGTGGCGCTCACGGATGGCTCGGTGTGGGTGCGTTGCACATTAATGGGAGGCATAGATGTTGGTGGTGGTGGCGGCGGGAGTGTGCTATGGGCATGATGAGCGTTCTGAGGCGGAAAGACCTTGCTCACAGAGGAGGTGACCAACGGACTCGGTGGGTGGAATGGAGTTGTCCCATTGCGCTCCAGTTGTGACCCGGGCACGTAGTTTCCACCAACACCCGTTTGTTGGATGACTATTTGTGGTCTGTGTGATGTGCCTTGCTTCACAGCAGATGTCTTCGATTTGGATTTGGGTCGCTGTCAGCCAAGAGGTAAAAAAGGTTAAGAAAGCCAAAATTGTAAAGGAGATATGAACAGGGGGCGATAGCTAGACTTTTGGTTGTCAATTGCCGCAGAGTGCGAGGAAATTTTTGGAATATCGTTGATCTTTGAATTTTTAGACTTTGATTGAGCAACGTGGTCATCACGGTATGAGATCACAATTAGATCATAAGGTGGCCATAGATCTGGTAACTTATACGGGAAGTGTTCGATTCGCTCTAACTGTTTCTGGACGTTCTCAGCCAACAGCTATTTTGTAGTGCTACCAACTCACGAGTAAAGTAACGGGGTTCCCAAATACATTAGCAGTTTGCCAATGATTTTCAGAATTTCAGTTAGGCGGAAGATTCGAACCTAATTCCAGGGCCATGAATAATGGTGAGTGTTTGTTGCAAGTGATCATAGCATAGCAGTCAGGAAGAGGCAAAAAACACCATGGTCGATACGCTGTCATAGCACACACACCCCAAACTGCTACCGCGCTGATGGTTCGCACTCACACGTACTCCTGTGGTTTAGGAACCGACCCAGATACTTGTATGGGTAACGAAGAACGAGGAAGCTCCAGTTAACTGGGGCGAACAGGTTACGGCGGTACTATAAAGCCTGATGCCGGACGTAATGAAATGAGTGTCCGTCATTATCCTCTGCTGATCTACTGAGGACCGGGAACCCATATGGAAAAATAGTAGATTAGTTTATGGCCTAGATGAGTTTGTGCAGGCGACATTTTCACCTTTCGGCAGGTGGGTTATGGCTATCACAAGTAGCACATCTGGGACACGACTGCGCGTTAGATTCAGTCGATCGCTGGGGTTTCGCGCTCGACATGTCCATCCAGAGAAGTGATCCCAGGAAGTGGCTTGTATAGTTTACATGCCACATACTCGAACACCTTGCGTCGCAAGGCGTCGCTTCAAAAGTAGAGTACATTAGCTAGGGAAGTAACGTTCTCACGTTTCCGATCAACCGAATGATAGTCTGGATGATAATTTGGCCTCCAACGGGGATAACACAAGCATTCAGGTCTGGTCGAGAGAAAACTGGTTGATTCGAAATAGACAGGCGATGCACCGATGCCGATAATCGTGAGGTGGTACAATCGACTGCCGGTAAATGCTATGGAGTGAATCAATTCGTTGCACCGTAATGAAGATCGTTCTCGCCTACAACAATGAGAGTTACGCTTTTCAATGCAATTAAGCCGTTGAGTGTCGTCATCTAAGGAGCAATGCTGGTACCAACGTGTACGCAACGAAGAAGTGTATGGGTGGATGCTATACAGCGATAACGATGCAGAGTAAACACTTCTGAAGTAATCACGCACGATGCTTTGCTCAGTGATAACGTCCGAAACAGACAATCGTTGACTTTGCACTAGGAGAACAACTCACTGACCGCTAGGCTAGGTAATATTCGTTAATCTGGGATTTAACGCTCATATCACTTCGAGTTTGGCTTAGGACCATATAGAATATGGCTGACAGCTGGATGCCAGTCAGGTAGAAGCTCTGGCTGATGACTTCCTGTTTTTAAATAGTAGTCAGCTATTTGTGACCGCGCACTGTTGAGAAAGTACATACGGCACTCGGGCTCTATAGTAATCCCTTGCTACCTTTTTTAAACCGCGCATAAGTGGGGATATTAGGGCCGTATGGAGGTAGAGAAGTCATAAAAAGCACTGATAAGGTGTTGATAATGATGGAGACAGTGATAATAGGTGACCGGAGATTCATCAAAGTGTTAGCATGGAGGGATCACTATTCAGCAATGGTGGCGCGCACCTTCATTCGTATCTGAATCCTGTGGAACAATTGAGTCTGCTTACGAGTGTGGCATTTAGGATTTCAATGGTCTGAGAATGATCGTTAAAATGTCCACTATTAGTAGAGGTGGTGAGAATGATTCTCTTGCAATCGTCTGGGTGGTTGAAAAAGAGACCCACAAGAGATGAAGGGCATGTCATAGGTGTAAGGTGAGTAAACACTTGGCACATTGGGTTCCTGCTGACATCTCCATTTGTTAACTTTGCAAAACACTATCTAAGGTGGAGAATCGAATAGGGAAACTGTAACAAGCCGTGAATCTCAGGGACCAGGGGAACAAGATGTCAGTCACCACGTCCCGGGTTCCACTCTCAGCTCCGGTTGTGTAATGCAGTGTTGCTGACAGATGATGCAGCAAGATGTCCATTTCGAATGGGATCCCAGTGATCGCTGAAATTGTCGAGGTCTACTTTAAAGTAAACCGAGGTCCCAATAGAGATTGCGTGACACAATTCGAACACTTACGGCTTGCGCGCCAAAACCCAATAATAAATGATCAGTCCCTGTCCCAGATGTTCTTCGTGCACTTCCATCACTCAGTAATAAATGAGTCCGCTGTCAACCACTGTGTGCCGAGTTCCAGTTCCAGCTTCGGCTATCTCTATCGGATGAGTGCAAACGAAAGGAAGAAACAAGTCGCAAAAGAAGTCGCTTCAACATTCCAGTTACGTGTAGGGTGCGATGTCGCTTTTAAGCCAGTTCATTCACAGATAAATTTCTGTACTCAAGGTATACGAAGAACACTACGGTTTATGATGTTGGCTGAACTTATTATGAAACCTTAGCGTAACACAAGAAATTTATGTCTTGAAGACCACAAGCAGAAACCAACGCACTATTGCGGAGGGTCACCCGATGGGTCGGAAGGATCTGCGGTGTTATGTTAGTCTACTATCAGAGCGAACAGACAGACCCAAGAAACAAGGTAGTCAGACAATGGAGGACGAACCTGACGGAACCTACCTGAAGATTGGAAAGAGTGGCATGGAACTACTAATTTTGACAGTTGACCTTTCTATTCCAAAAGTCGAAGGTCAATAAGGGACCTATAAACATGACCACGGTCTGCTGCAGTTGTACAGAGGTATTTTGGCAGCGGTTTACGTGTTATTTTGTCAAGATCGTTTACATTCTGATTTTTTCTTCGGTTGGACTAGAGGTTTTGTGCAAAGGTAAAGTGCATACTTCGAATTCGCGACAATTAGGAAGATTATAACACAATCGGATTATTGGGCGTAACATGCGTAGTTGTTCATCCACACGGTCCCGTTGATTGGCTGATGTCCGTGTGCACTACAGTAAGTACGTCGTTACAAGTTTAATTGAGTCAAAGGAGGAAGCGCGTTGGTACAAAAACGTCGTTTGTTCATGAAAACGCGCTAACCTTATATACCGAGAAGTGCTGTAATTTTAACGGAGTCCCCGTTACTGAATAAACCATTGGCCTCTGAGAGAATCACTCTTGAGAAGTAAAGTACCGCATCATGGGAACAGCAGAGGAGGAACCTTTGGAAATTATCAAGAAAACCTTCAATCCAGAGTGTGAATAAAGAAGTTGGATTATTCCCAGAGCTGGGTTTTATCTACACACGTCCCCAACAAGTGGATTGACGAGGCTACGCAACCTGGTGGCGAAACGTTTGCGGCTACAATACCCAGTTTAGAGACACAACTCAATTGTCTCAGAGAGAACAATTGATGACTACGAGCGCATCAATTGCATGTTGACATCGCAGTAAGACAAACTCACCCTTCTCTTGGCAGCGCCTTTGTGCCGTGGATCTTGAAGCATCTTCTGACTCCAGAGATCAAAAAAGAAATCCGGATCCGAGTACAATTTCATACTGATACGCTTGTCATCACGTAACTCGTCCATCTGTTGCAGTGGTGGTGGAGGGTCTGCCCGCTCGTAACAGGCACGCATCGATTGTGGAATTGTGTTTCTGCTGAGGACCTAAGAAGGAGAAGAAGCGAGGTTAGATGTGCGCATAATATAAGTGGAAACGAAGACGTACTCGACTGTCCGCTGGCTTTTTACTACAAAACGGTGGTAGTTGGACGAGTGGTGCGTTTACGGTCATATCTTCGTCCCCATGTTGCATCGCCTGCACATCCTCCTGTAGTACGAGCAATCGATTCTGCAGACGCATTGTACGCTCCGCCAGACCGGACAACTCGGATGTTAGCTCATCAAACATGTGTGTGGCTACTCGGCTAATGGAGGCCATTTGACGCATCAGGTTGCAGAGAGTGGCGTTGGCCACAAATTCTAACTCGTTTTCTACATCCGGAGGAACGGGAACTTGGCTCACGCGCACTGGATGGACTGTGTGCTTCGGTAGGGGCATGACAACTGTCTAGGGTAAAGAGAGAGAGAGAGAGAGAGAGATGGAGTTGCGTGATAGTGAACAGTAGTTAGGGGTTCGATAATATCCACACGTCAATTGGTTATTAAGATCGGACGGATAGCAAGCGTTGTCTCGAGCTGCTTCGAGTGTACGAAGACATGAACCAGAAGGCACAAGAACTATCGGTGTTCCAACATGTAATGTAAAGATATGGAATTATCAGCGTAGAACCGTTGGTAGATGGACACATCTCAAACATAAGTGCTGAACAAAGTTGTGAAAGCACCTCGAGACTGACGTTTTGAATCGTTCTCCGAGCTGAGTAATTTAATGTCAAACGTTTCACCACTTCCCTCAGTGGCATCTTCAGTGTACAGCTCCGCAGGGGAAATCTCACGGAAAATGTCGTTGGGACGTAGCGTTTGAAAATAGCCTCGTCGATCTGTGTCCCGTGACCTCTGTTTGTTCGATACTTAGCCGTCCAGCTTCACGCTTTCTCAGCTGTAAGTACACGGGATCGAGATCAATGCGGAGGTTCAGGGAATTCTCCGTACATCAATTACAAGCTAACTGCGATATAGCCCGCCCATCCTCCAGTGGCAGCTGCGGCATTTGACCTAGAAGGGGCCTGTGTACCGTCCGAGCGCGATGCGGATGCCGACAAAGACAAACTTCATAGACGAATATTATCACTTATTCGAATGAGCAAATGCACGGGGCTCATGACGATTGCAGGTGACGCGAATGCTTAAGTTGGCCATCGATCATAGTCGGAACATCTCCATACAGGTTGTTTCGGAGTGGACGCTGGTCGTGCTGACAAGGGCGTGAGGCAGGGCTGCTCATCGTCACCCTTCTCGTTCAATTTCGTTAAAGATGGCATCCTGAAGAGCGTTGTGGAGAACTGCGGACCTCGCGGCGTTGAGCTGCTTACGGGAGACCGGCTCCGCGATTTGGAGTAAGCAGACGACATCGCTGTATTTCAACTCAAGTAGAATGCCCATTTGTTACGTCAAGTTTCGAAAGATAAGCAAAACACGAAGCTTTGAGCAAACAATTGTTTTCGATTACTTCATCAGGCTCATATAGTAATATACATTAAGTTAACATCTGTTGCAATCGTTGGTGTAACAAAGAAACAATTGATCAGCAAATTTAACTTGTGATCATGATGACCTTCATCTGATCACGTGACTGGGGTCAGGTGAATCTGCGGAGTACCATTGCTTCCTTCAATAGTGAGTTTTATAGACAGGTTGATGGCGTTGCAATGGGCTCCCCGCTTGATCCATTGTTAGCGGATATTTGTATGGGAATGCTAGAAAACGGTAAATTAAAACAGGTCATATCCGGTCTAAAATTCTATCGGCGTTATGTGGATGATATAATTTGTATAAGTGATCGGACCACCAAACCCCAAGATATAATCGACTGTTTTAAAAATGCGCACCCCAATGCCGCATTTACAGCTGAAGAAGAAAACAACAACCAAATGGATTTTTTGGACGCAAGTCTTATCAGAAGAACCGATGGATCAATCCAAAGAAAAGTATACAGGAAACCATACTGGACGGGACAATACATGAACTTTCATAGTTTCGCCCCACTCAGCCAAAAAAGAACGCTGGTACGAACGCTAACCGATCGGGCATATAAAATCTGCAGCGAAGATACCATAAAAGCCGAACTCGCACGAATCAAAGAGGCGCTTCTCGAAAATGGATATCCGGAGCGATTTATCGAGACCCATATGAAGCGATGCACACCAAAAGTATCAAAACAAACCGTTGAAAAGAAACAGCTTTACTTGACACTCCCATTCAAAGGAAATAGTGCGGCTGAGACATGCACACGTCGACTACAGCAAAGTTACAAAAAGACCTTTAATGCGGCTCAACTGAATGTGATTTTCACGAGCAGACCTTTACTAGTTCCGAGATTCAAAGACCGAGTGCCTGATCATCTCCAATCGATGTTAATCTACCGGTTCACCTGCCCGTGCGGGACCAGGTACGTTGAACGGACGACCAGGCATCTAGGTAAGAGAATTAAGGAACATCTGCCAGGTTGGCTCTACAAGCGGGAGAATAGAACAAACTAGTGCGATTACAAACCATCTAATAAACACAGGTCACCAGATAGACAAACGAACAGCCTTTCAAATTCTCTACAAAATACCGTCAAGACAAAATCATCGTCTAAGAGCAGGCATACTCGCCACCGCTGAGGCAATATGCATACGTCTAACAAATCCGGACTTGTGTGTTCAGAAGAAACTAATACAAACACTACAACTTCCTTGGCCGACCACCAGCCGTGAAGGAACCAATGGTACTCCGCAAATTCACCTGACCTCAGTCACGTGATCAGATGAAGGTCATCATGATCACAAGTTAAATTTGCTGATCAATTGTTTCTTTGTTACACTAACGATTGCAACAGACGCTAACATAATGTATATTACTATATGAGCCTGATGAAGAAGTAATCGAAAACAATTGTTTGCTCAAAGCTTCGAGTTTTGCTTATCTTTCGAAACTTGACATCGCTGTAATTTGCGATTTCTCACAACCCGCCCAAGATATGCTGTGCAGGTTGGTGGTGTCTGATTCCCAGTATGAAATGACCTTCGCCCCTTCGAAGTGTAAGGTCTTCGTACAAGAATGACCAGCAGCTGATCCCGCCATCACTTTTCAAGTCATTCTCTGGAAGTGGTAGACAAGTATGTTCACCTCGAAAGCTGCATCAACGCTAACGGTTTAACGGATGAGGTCGGTTTGCGCCTCTTTAAGGCCCGGATTGCTTTTGCTAATCTCCAACATCTCTGACATCGAGGTGACTTGAATCTCTGAAGGAACGAGTCTACAGTGCCAAGATGTGAGCAGTCTTACTATACGGTTGTAAGACTTGGTCGGTTCGCGCAGAGGACGTTCAGAGGCTGTCTGTTCTTGATCATCGTTGTCTTCGGAGCATTGCTGGCGTACGGTGGTAACATGACATTAGTAATGAGGACGCCGCTGAACTGCATACTTCCACTGCAAAGGTTTCGAGGGCTTGGGCACGTGCTTCGTATGTCTACTGACCGTTTACCTCACCGTGCAATCTGTGCGCACAGAAGTCCATGGGAAACGAAGACATGATGGCCAGAGAATGAACTGGGTCAAAAGTATGAAGGCGCTGACCTCACATTTGGCCGGGGTCGGGCGCTCTCGACTCCCAGGTTGGCGGCGCAATGATCACGAGCACACATGGCTGGAAACCCTGCCGGACATGTCAAGAAACCGTGAGCAATGCGAACATGTTGTGAGACTCTATTCCCATAACTGCACTTCAACGTTTCGTTTCGGACTCCTTATTCTTTAATTATTGGGGTATTATCTTTGTCCATGAGCTGTGACACACTGCCAATTGTACTATTGGTCAACAGCTGAATATATGGTTGGCGGCATCCGGTTTCGGATTTGCCTGTCACTGTGGCCAGCCACAGGACGCCTGCGCCTACAGAGGGACCATGGGTGGCTTGCGCTGCACCACCCACAGCTCCAACCATACATCCCATATCCAGTGTAAACCCGAAGGAATAAGACCGGGAGGCATGTGGATGGGAGCTACGTTTCATCAACGGAGCCGGCCCACACTCCTTCACAGGCAAACACAAGCACGCTGTATTTGGGGAATCAAGCGCACACAAGGCGGTGGCTGGACCGTAGTCCACTCCACACTGAGTGCATGGAACCACTCTTTGATCCTAGCACGGCCACAAGGACCGTGCACCCCGTCCCCTCCAGCAACGACCAACTGTCTCCTGGAGCCAGTATGAACGAGGTAGTGGATAATAGACAGGTAGGCACCTTGTCAACATGCACATCAAGCGCAGCTACACCGGGGATATCAAGCAACAGCCATTCACTTTAAACGACAAGCTGAAATAAAATAAATCCAATAATGCATACAGATACGGTGGCATAACACTTCCCTAAATTACCATATGAAGTGAGTTGGTTAGCAACGAATCCGCGATAAGTAAGAAATGTCCACAAGTTACTTAAAAATGCTACAAACACAACAAAATTACCGAAGATAAGCACAATTAGCGTAAGCAACGTGGCCAGTTAATAGAACATTATTCAGGTAGGAAGAACAAACCAAATAAAGTGGAATGAAATTTATCCGGCTTAAAAAGACCTAGTTTAAGTGTAAGTTGGTTTAGCCCAACTGCGGTGAAGAAGCATCAAGAATGCAACATCAGCCTCAGCAGAGGGCAAGCTGAATATATATATATATATATATATATATATATATATATATATATATATATATATACATATATATATATGGGAATAAAACTGACTCACTATAAACCATTGTGTTGAGTTACATGGCGGACACCGAGTGATAGACTAACCGGAACCTATCAGCATCACCTGTGATTCCACATATACGTCGGTGCCAAGTGTCGGTATGCATAGAGCACAAGACCAAAGTTAGACCACATGCTCGTAAATGCCCGCATAACGCTCACTCCTTTTGGCTTTGCGAAGAGGTCAACTTCGAAGATGATCGATCACTTGCCGATAGTGAGCAATATCGGTCTAAAATCCTGCATTAATTGTCAATGAAGTTTGAAGCGGACGGACTGAATGTTAACTAGAACCACCTTTGAAGTATCATGGAAAATATAAGTTACTAGTGCACCCAGATTAAGGCATTGAAAGAGACGGAGGTTTACAGAGATTCGACTAGTGCATTTTACGCACGAGATACCAGCTCCAGGGTGTCCGTATCACACCGAAAGATTGCCTACTTAGGCGTAGAGAAATAGATGGGGAGAAAAGTGGTGCATAATGACAGGGCAGCAGTATTGCGTCAAAGCATTCAGCTCATAGGCTCCACAAATCCCACGGTTAATTCAATAAAAACGGAAGGAAAAGTGGGATGACTGATTCAGTCAGGTAGACGAAAAAGTTGAATTGGACGAATTTAAGAGCAGGTTAACTGAACAAGAAGGC